GGGGGGGGGGAGTGTGGTAAGAAAAGGAGTGGAAGACCTCCAAGCAGAGGGATGAGCACATGCAAAGGTCCTGAGGTAGGATTGTGTTGGCAGGTTCAGAGCCCAGGCAGTCACAGGGGCTGAAGCTGCTGAGAGAGGGGCACAGTGGCAGGGAGTAAGGCTGGAGAGGCAGCTGGAGGCTGGGTCCTGTGAACCTTTGTTGTTAAGGGCTGTCGGGTGCCTTCAGACTCATAGCAACCCTGCAATAGGGTTTCCAGGGAGCAGCTAGTGGGTTTGAACCATCAACCATATGGTTAGCAGTCCAGTGTGTATCATACAGAGCCGTAGTCTTTAGAGAGCCACGGAAGAATCTGGATTTTACTGTCAGAGAAGGGGGAACTCATTGAAGAGATCTGAGCAAGGTACGGATATGGTTTTAATCCAACAGCTTTACAAGAGGCTTTTGAAAGCATTTCTGTTTGGGATTTATTTTTTCCTTGTCCATATTTCCTTCCTGATTAAAAGATGGAGGGGATATGGGAGTGTGTGGTGACCATGCAGGAGGAGGGAAGAGAAAATGGGGAGAGCAGAGACAGTGGAAAGGAGAAGATGGGGTGCTGGGCCTGCAGAAACAGTATGGTAAGCAACGTCTTCACCAGGAACCTTCTAGGAGGCTCTGCCATCATCACTGATGAAAGGGAAGAATTTCTGCTTCGTTCCCCAAGGCAGGTGATCTTACTCTTGTTGCACTAAAGCCCCTGGAACCCCCAACCAATCCCAAGACCTCCACAGGTCTAGTGTCTAGCCTCTTGGCATGAGGAGATCAAGAGTGCAGAGAAAACAGAAAGGCTTTTCAGAAGTGTCCAACCTCTAATGGCTAAAAATCCCCAATTCACAAAATACATCTTTGAAGCTTTCAAACCTCAAAGCCATCGGGGCACCTACGAGCTCTGTCTGTGGCTGAAAGATGCGTGCCTTTTCTTCAGCAGACGCACACAGACAAAACACAAAGCTCACATGAAGTCCACCCAGGGGTCAGATCTCTGTGAGGACTTGTATTTCAGGAGCCTTGTGGCAGCTCAGGAAAAACAGTACCCCCACTAAGAGATGGGGCCCTGGCCACTCAGCATGAAGAGCCCCTGGTCTCTCCTGAAGCAGAGACGGTCACCACACACAACGAACGAGCTGCACTCACCGGTGCATGAAACAGCGTCTTGGCATCCATCTTCTTCATGGTGCTCCCTTCCAAGGCCAGGTGCTCTATCTTCCCAGTCTGGGCAAAAAGTAAGTGGGTCCCAGGGGGCAGGGGGATCACGGCGGTAGGAACTTGGGGTCCGTGGTGAGTTGGGGGAGCCACTGTACTGAGACCTGTGGGTAGGAGATGCCAGTAAGCAGGGTCAGAGGACAGCAGGAATGCCCAATGCAAATGTGCACACCTCCACATGGTGTTATAAAGCCAGTGCACAGAAACAACCATGGCTGTGAATTCTACAACCGACCTAGCAGCTAAAGGGCCACAGGGAGGAGTCAAGTGCTGTAAAGGTGAGAACAGTGCCCACCCACCCGAGGAAGCCTGGGCAAGGGCTCAGCTGGTCTCCACCCTCCCGGCAATGACATACCAACACGGAAGGTTCTGGAAGCCTTACCTCCACCTGTAGAGCTTACCACCAGACCGCAGGCAGACTCCCACCCTGCTGTCCATTGTCAGTACAGTAAGCAGGCCACATACATTATTTACACAAAGCACATTTGTGTCAGAAAAGGAAGAGGACAGGCAAGAAGAGGAGAGGAGGGAATGCAGAGACGGGGTGATCGTGAAGAGTGGAACAGATGAGAAAGAGGCTGGAAAACAAAGATGGGTGGGCTTTGAGCTAGCAAAGTGATTGGGGATTCAGGGTCAGGCTGAAAGTGCCCCTTCCCATCCTGGATGAAGGGATGCAGATGTCTGGGATCCCCTTGTACTCACACGGGGGCTGTATTCCTGGTCTGGTCCTGGTGCCCTCAAGCTCCCGGCCGTCCTGATCCACACACCAGCAATGACCAGTGCTGCCATGGCACTGGGTGGGCCTGTAGTGCCCATACTCATCACACTCAGGGACAAAGAGCCCTGGGGGCCTGGGCCGCTGAACATCTGTGGTGCCCAGGAGGTGCTCCCGTTCCCGCTGGCATCTGGTTTTCTCTGCTTCTGTTCAAGAGGCGGCAAAAGAAGGGGCAGTTAGCCTTGCAGCGTCCCCGGCCCCAGACTGCGGGCTGTCCCACTGCACTGACTGTGAGCCACAACCGGCAGTTGTTTGGTCAGGACGGAGGGTGTCTTTGTTCTGTGCTCATGTCATTGTGGTGAAATATATGCGACAAAACATTGGCCATTTTGGCCAGTTTTACATGTGTAATTCAGTGACACCGATTACATTCACCAGGCTGAACACACAAATGTTACCACTACCCGTTTCCACAGTTTTCATCACCCTTAACAAAAATGCTGAGGGCTCCAGGTGACACTATCAGTGCAAAGGTTCAAACCTTCCCAGAGAACTGGAAGAAAGGTCTGGTGATCTGCTTCAGAAAGCTCACAGCCTTGAAAACCCTGTGAAGCGTTTCAAAATTGTACACATGGGCTTGCCATGAGTTGGTATTAACTCAAAGATAACCACCACCAACATCAAACAAAAACTTTGAACCCTTTAAGCAATTAACAAACCCCCTGCCCCGTGGTAACCGCTAATACACTTTGACTTCTATACCTTTTTTTCTATTCTAGGTATTTCACATAGGTGGGGATCGTACATGTATCTTTATGTCTGACATCAATCATCAAAATGTCTTCAATGTTCCTCCAACTTGCAGCATGTATCAGAATTTTTATTTACTCTAAGGATTTTATGTTTTCCCTACATGGGTCCTTTTTTTAATCACCTCAAGCTTTTTGATTACTCACATGGAGAAGAGGCCAGAGATTTAGAGACCAGCGATCACAGGGCAGGTTTACCACCATTTGTATGTTTCTTTTTAATCACTGACCTGGTGTTTGGCATGAAACTTACACTGCAACTCAGGTTGCTCTGTGAATTCTATACTATGCAACTCAGATTCCAAAGAAGAGCAATATGTCTGTATCTGTGGGGAACTGCTGATGAGAAGCTTCTTGCCTGCAATAAACAATTCCCAGATACACAGGTATAGCTGGAATTCCTAGGTGATACAAGGAGTTAATGCTCTTAGCTGCTAAGTGAAAGGTTCAAGTTCACCCAGAGGTACCATGGCAGACAAGTCTGGCAATCTTCTTCCAAAAAACCAGCGACTAGAAGCACACTTCTACTCCGATACACATGGAGCCAACCTGATGACAACTGCTAATGCCACACAAGTCAGGCAGCCCGCTCACCAAAAGGGCCAGCCCAGCAGCTCCTCTTCAGCACGTACCATACAGAGCAATGCCAGACTCCACTGTCCTGACTGCTGAGCTGCTCTTCCAGGCCCTTCCATGTGCTGTGCTCTTGGTTACTACCTCCCCCAACATGGATCAAGAATCAGCTCAGCCATGGATGCTCATCCGGCAGCCTTCCCAGGCTCCCTCCGGCTGGGTCTGGTGCCCATCTGTGAGCTCGCGTCACACGCATACACAGTTGCTTTCATCATACACAGTGGGCTGTTTTCCTTGTCTGCCACCTTCAGCAGGCTCCGGGCTCTGTGAGAACCAGAACCACCTACTAGGCTGGAGGGTGGGATTGAAAACATGAATGAAATATAGGGTCGGCCTTCAAGGAGTTCACAGTGTGGAGGGAAGAGGATGAACACACAATTACAATTCAGGGAGTGTTTTGGCAGAGGGGATGGTCAGGATCCCACCAGATGGCTGAAGAGATCTTTTCCACGGCACACAGAGTACCAAGTGCTCTTTGTGGATGACTAGGAGTGCTGCTCTAGAATGCTAGGGCAGGGTCAGTAGAATTTTCCTATAAAGGGCAAGAGAATAAACAGCTTCAACTTTGTGGGACACTAGATTTGCAGATCATGTAGTTACAGCTGTAGGTTAACATGCAATTTAATGAATATGATGGTGTTGCCCAAACTTTATATATGAAAACAGGGGGCTAGGCTTGCCATGCTGTTGTATTTTGCCAACCCCTGCTCCAGGCATTCCTAGTCAGACTAGGGGACACCCACACGCAGACACATATCTATGGCCCATCTGTCAGTTGGAAGCTTGTGTGCTGCTGTGATTGTAGCAGCTCTGCCAGCAGTATTTGAAAAACCAGCAGAGTCGTCCCTGGTCGACAGGTTTCAGTGGTACTTCCGGACCAGACACACTAGGACAAAAGGTCTGCAGATCTACTTCCAAAAATAAGCCAATGAAAATCCCATGTGTCATAGTATACTGACTGAGACTTCAACTCACATACTTTGGATATGCCATTGGAGATTACGTTAGGTAAGTGGCAGGCCAGTGGAGGGGAGGGAAACTGTCACCGGATGAATGGACATATGCCACCGACCAGGACGTGGGAGCAGGACTGGGTCTGTTACATGTGTGGCTATCTCGAGTTGAGCCAGAACCTGCTGTTGTTGTGATGTGCCATCGAGTCGGTTCTGACTCATAGTGACTCTGTATAGCTAGTGAGTGTGAGCCACCAACCTTGAGCTCAAACTGACTTTGTGGTCCCGCGCATTAACCCACAGCACCACACTGGAACTCCTACTCAATGCAATTAACAACAACCCAATGCGTGTGCCTATACTGCATATTTCAGAAAACTCTGGGCCTAAAATGTTTTTGTTCAGCTCCCCCACTTCTTGGGTCACCTTGGTAGTGTCAGCAGTGCAGACTAAACTGTTCTGCCCTCCACTACAGAATAATGACACAAACCTCACAGTATTCTCATGAGGAGTAAACAGCAAACGACAGTGAACTGAGGGGATGCTAAAGTCTGAGCTCAACTGTTCACTTCTGACTGTCTCAGCACAGGACAGACTGTGACTTCCAGCATGTGTGTGGCTGCTGAATGTTGAAAGCACCTTCTGTCAGCTCTTGTCTGCTTAACGAGGTTACTCCCTTTATTAGAAGTCGTTAGCTTGCCAGCAAAGAGTTTGTTAAATCTGACAAAAGAAAGCTGTGCGTGTTTTCTCTTCTGTCTCAGAGGCCAATATGAAACACAAAACAAACCATATTTAATGTGGAGAGAGCCAAAGAGATGAAAAAACCATCTGGTTAGGAATAAAACTGTTGGTTTGTGTCCATTCTTGGACATAAAATGTGTTTACTTCTTCAATATCTTACATTTGCACAGGGTTCGAAACTTTGCACACAAATTGTCCCAATCCTCATATATAAAACAAAACACAAATAAAAAAGCAAAAGACAATTGCCATTGAGTTGACTCAGACTCAGGTATGTGTGTCCAAGTAGAACTGTGCTCCAGGGGGTTTAGTGACTGAGTTTTTTGGAAGTTGAACTCAAGGCCGTCCTTCTGAGATGCCCCTGGGTGGGACCTCTCACCTATATTTTTAATTGACTTATTGCAATAATTCTATCAGGCAAGCAACCATATTTTTTATATCAAATGAGAAACCTGAAGCTCAGAGAGTTCTGGAGAGCCTGAACAGGTGCTACAGCTCGAACTAGAACCTTGGTCTTGGGATTCCGCATCCTGACCCTGTCCCTCTGTGCCTCTGGTCTCCTGCCTCCCACATTCCAAGTGTCCAGGACACCACCCACACACTAAACATACCATGACAATACTGATACACAAGCCTCACACTGATCCAGATGACCTTTCCTGCCACAAAACATCTGTATACGGTGCTGCCTTTCTAAGCAGAAACTAGGACCAGAGTCCTCCATCCTATCAAAATAGATCAGACTTTCAAGGACGTAGGGGTTGTTCCATTCCATTACAATACACAACATCTCTCTGAATTGAGCGCCCTTCTAAAAGTTCAGGAAAAACAAAATCTGCATAAAAATTAGCAACTGAAAAGGATGAAATGTAAGCAGAGAGAAAGGAACCTAGAAATAGCTCCATGGACAAAGACAGCTTGACATTCAGACATTTTCACAGAACAGACCTAAACTACTTTCTATTTCAAAACAAGCTAAAAGAAAATGTTCCAACATGTGAAAGAACAAAATAAATCCAAATTCAGAAAAAAAAAAATCAGACAGAATTCAGGAAAGAATTAGAACAAAAGGGAAAAAAAGGTGTTTCAGAAATGAAGACTAAACTAGGAGGAATACAGAGGTGAATAAACATAACAGATTTTACTTTAAGAAAAATACAAGGTGGGAATGAGGAAAATGTTTGACACAAAAACAGTCTAGTAAAATGACTGGACTTTAAAGAGGAAGACAAAATGCTCTGAGCAACTATGGGGGGAATTATATTCATGTTATCATTAGAATATTTGACAGCATGTTCTATGTCAAAAGAATACGTTAGAGATTCAAGAAGAGAAATGTAAACCATGGGATAGTTTTTCTATGAGCCTTTCCTGAGGAATCTACAAGAGAACATACTTCTAACCACGTACTGACAGCCGTCGAGTCAATTCCGACTCATATTGTTGAACCGTGGCTAAAAGAAAAATCAGAGAAAACAAGGCCATTGTGGTCAAATTCATTCCGACTCATGGCCCCCTGTGGTACACATTACAGCTGAACTCCGTGGGTTTCTTCCCTTGGCTGCAATCTTTATAGAAGCAGTATACCAAGTCTTTCTTCTGTGGAGGGTGGGTTTGAGCTGCCAGTCAGACACTGTGCCTAAGACTTCAATAAGGACTCATAGGACATGAATACAGGTGAAATGGTTACACACGCAGGCAATATTGACAGAGTGTAACTATGAAAAGATGGGGTGGGGGGCACCTACAAGATCTCTTACAACTGCTCTCAGAATCAATAATGGTGGTGGTAGTATTGGTGTTGTTATGCAGAGACTTGTCTGTTTCACATGGGATAAAGTAAATGAGTAATTGTTGTTAAGTGCCCTGGAGTCCGTTCCGACTCATAGTACCCCTGTATAGGGTTTCCTAGACTGTAAATCTTTGTGGGAGCTGAAAGCCTCATCTCACTCCCCTGGAGCAGCTGGAGGGCTCAAACCGCCAACCTTGTGATTCACAGTCTAGGCTCCCAGTGAATAACTAGGGTGGTGGTGGTGTGCAGGGGAGGCAGTTACAACTCATAGCAATCCT